TCTTGGATCAGTAGAATGCCCAGGTCATCCGTGGCGAACCTGCTGGAGATGACCGCCGAAGCAGCCACCGCATGATGCAGGTTGACCTGGGCTACTGCCAAGTGACACGTGGTCATAGTTGGGGCTCGTCGAGATCGGAGAGCTGTAATTCGCTCTCGCTTCTCCTATCGAGCTCAAGTCGCCAAAAGTCGATGCCTGATAGCACCTCCTGCGTGGATGGCACGTCTTCCGCTGGCTTGGTGGTGGTGGCTGGCTCGGACGTGCTTGCTGGAGTTGGTGTCTGGGTGAGGGGTAGCTGACTGAGGGGTGGCTGTGCGAGGGGTGGCTGTTCCGCCGGTAAGGTCGAGGTTGACTGGGTCGTCTGGGCAGCGGAGGAGTCGGCAGCCGCCTCGATTGGGGTCTCCTGCGACTCCGACTCCTTGCTACCTGTCGCCTTTTGTCGCCACGGCCTCACCGTGACGAAACTGAACCTATAATTTAGGTTGAAGCCAGCCATCTCCTTTGTATATTAATGCAACTGTTAGGCTTTCTGCAAATTGGTCGTCCAATCATAGTTGCTTCATCGTCACAATCATGATGCAACGATTACATGACGACTACACTTTCGCACACTCGGTCGTGATATTTTAATTCATTTGGCGTCTAAAAATTCACTTGAAGCAGTTATTTTCTGTGTTTCTCTTCTTCTCTTCTTTTCTTTTCCTGAAATGTGTTTTGTGCATACACACAGAGACTTTTTACAATTTCGTCATATTTTATAGTTAAAACGATCACATTTATTGAATTTTAATGCAGTTATATACTTTTTAATAATTTCCACAGATTTTATGCAAAAAAATAATTTTTATGCTTTTCCACTAATTTTTCCCCATAAAATGTAAACAAACAATTAGCAAACGACAGTGCCGTACTTATCCGTTTCTGCATCTTCTACGATTTGCCTATAACGACAAGTGTGCAGATCTCCTTTGAAATGCATGTGCTCGGCTCAAAATTTCAGGACGAGACGATAACGCAACTATGATTGGACGACAAGTGTGCAGATAGCCTCAGCTGTTCCTCCTGGGACAAAAGTGCACCGGCCACTGAATCCTTTGTATTCTACTTAATTAAGGAAAAGTCTTCAAATAATGATTAAACTATTTTTTTTTTTTATTTCACTATTCACTTGCGATTATATTTAGTTTGATTTGTTGCTGTCAAAACAACTGACTAAGAACTTCGAATTTCACGTTTTAAGCTGGCAGTGCTGCTGATAGTTACGATCGGATTACGGCATACCAATTTTGGAATTTTCGGAACGGAGCTACGAATTCGTAACTACGAACTTTCGGATCACAGCATAAGGGTGTCGAATTTGCGGAGAATTTCGTGATAGCGATTTCCCGACGTGACAAAATTAATTGCCATTGCGTTGAAAGGTTGGAAAAATTGCCACGTGTGAAACGCCCTTAGCTCATTTCCTTAGAGTTCGGGGAAGCTGGCAACAATGCTAAATTCCCGCGATTTTGTGACATTTACATATAAATAGGGACACGATATCGAACCGAAAGTATCGATATGGTACTCATTTAAAGTATCGCTATAAAATATCGGAATAAAAAGACTCGATATTCCAAATATCGATACCAAAATCCAAAAAATTTATCTGAATATAGGTTTCGCATATAGGCCGTTTGGGTGTAGTGGTTAGAAGTGCGCAAACCTTGAAAACGAAAAAACCCTTTCAGAGTCGACATAAAACTATAGGCACCCCCTTTGTGCCACAACATTAAGGCCCACCCGACAAATCGGAGGAGAACTTCGGCCAAACACTAAAGGGCCATTCACATACAACTTTCCTCGCTTTGCTTGACAGTTCAAACTTTGACAACAAAGCGTGAAACGCAGAAGTTATGCTACAATAAACAGCTTTTGCGTTCTCCTTTTCCTCTATATTTTTTTTCTGTAAAATAGATAGCAATATAATAATATGCATTAATAATAGCAATAAAAATTCCTATTTACCCTATTTTTGTCGTTAAATCCATATGCAAGCGCACGAGAAAAAAAATACATGTAGAGTGCTGATTGCCAAAGCGGGCAAAAGTTGAGAGTTGCCCAAGATTTTGCTTCGTTTTGCTTTGCTTTGCTTCAAACGTTTTTTATGTGAGCATACTCATGCATATGCCTACATCGATCTTATTTGTCAAAGCAAAGAACTATCAAGCAAAGCGAAGAAAGTAGTATGTGAATCAGAATTAACATATTGTGTAAGCGCCGGACTTTATTATTATTACAACACGTAGAGATTGAGGTGCTGACTTAAACACCGAAGCCGCGGGTTCAAATCCCACCACATGCAATCCTAACCATAGTACAAATTTCTGCAGTTTAAAGCCCAATAAAGCCCGGTAATATTAGGTACACTGAGAAAAAAACGCATTATTAGAATAAATTTTTTTTTATTTGATTACCGTTTAAAAATGTTCGCATTTAAATCAAGTGAAAAGTTTTAACAAAACGGATTTTTCCATTATACATACACTACGTACATATAATGGAAATATTCAATTCAAATACTACCGTATTAAAATTAAGCATTTTTCACTACACGGATGGCGTTTTGCACGTCTCGGATGCTTTTTCATATGAAATTAAGAAAGTATATGTATACAAAGCATGCACAGCGGTGACAACACATACACACATACATGGTATGACATAATGCACTAATCGCGGGCTGTGTTGTTGATTCAAACACTTTTACATGTATGGCTGTAGCTGAGTGTGCAAAGACGCTTGATACAATTAGTTGCGGCCAAGAGGGTCCGGGTTCAATTCCCATCAGACGGAACATAAAATTAATTTTTTTTCTTCTTAATTACGAAAAAGCATCTGTGCACTTCACAACCACATATTTTATAACGTATATACTAAAATTTAAAACGGGTTGGGTTGGTTCTCTTTCATATGAGTATTTTTTTCAATTTAGCACGTTTTTTTTTGTTAATTCTAAAATTTTTTCCCTTAATGTTGGATGTGAGTTTATGACATTCGATACGATACTAGGGTTCTGGTACTCGATTCCAAAAAATATCGTTTTAAAACTATCGAGTAGAAAGTATCGGTATCGAATATCAAGAGTATCGAATTGGTATCGTATCGTATCGAAATTCGTGTCCCTACATATAAAATTCTTAGATACAGGAAAAAACATGAACTGTCATAAAATAAAATGAGCCGTAAAAATTAGTGTCGGGATGATTTTGAATCAGATTTAAAATTAGTATCGTAGTAGTGCTAATTATTTATTGCTTATCTGGGCAGCTATTGCCCTAAACACACTTCATACATACTTGCAAGTTTTTGTGAAATAGAAATGTCCGAAAATAACGAATCGGCTTCCAATTTTCGCTCCCAATATGAAGATTTATGTAGAGAACTCAATATGGACCGCGAAACGGAAGACCTTTCATGGAAAATGTTTGAAGAGGTGTTACAGCGATCAACACTAGAGGTACTAATTAAAATCCAAGGCTTAAAAACAATGTAACAGTTTCGTAAATAGGGAGATTCTTTGCACTGGTTTTGTTGTGCACTTTATGCGGCATGCAGATTGTCTTACACTCCCACTGTTGGCGAGTCCAATGCCATTGTGATGGGTAATTGCATCTCACTGAATAAAATGCTTCGATGCTGTAATATAAGGTAATATATTAAGTAAAGCAATCAATGTTTTTGTTATATATTTTTCCCTTAGTAGTATATCGGAGTTCATATCAAAAATTAAGGTATGGCACGAAATGGCTAATTTACCGTGCAGTTTTCTTCGACAAATTGAGAGATTAGAAAGGACACCTGGGATAACCTTTCACCTTTATTGTCGGTACAATGATATATTTGAAAAATTATTCATTTCATCCCGATATGACAAAAAAAATACAAAGTACAGGTAATACATTTTTTATTTAAATTGTAGTTAAGAAATTTATAATTTGTTTACATTATAGGCGACCTGATTATTAAGACCATTTGGGTTATTAAACGGGATAACTTTCCTATATGTGCGATTTTAAAAAGGCAGGTCGTCGGAAGGTGAGGGAGTGCGGAAAAAAAACGGGGTATGAAGACTGTTAGACAGCTGTATCCACGTTCCCAAAGTGAAAAGCGTAGCCTTCCTAGAATTCTATTTAAAATTTACTCAGAGTTCACTTATTTCTGCGAAGGCGGCCCTCGCCGGCGCCTAAGCATTATAACGCGGACTAAGCAGAATTCTCGGTTCCGTGTTGCCTCTTCTTTTGTCAAGTGTGTGATCTTTTGCCAACGTGTATTGGCTTTGTAACCAGCAATTGATGGTATTTCAACATATTATTATTTTTAATTAGTTATTTAATAATAAAAACACTTTTTACAAAAGTGCGATTCTTTATCAACGTGTGCATGCGATGAACATTAATTTTGGCCCACCCATTCCAACGTAACAAATAAAACAAAATCGCACATATAGGAAAGCGAAGTCTATTAAACTCAAGTTTGTGTAAATCAAGGCTGCATTTAAAATTTATTTCGAGGCTGGAACAAAAAAAAAATGACGCCCACCTTTCCAAATTGAAAGAGCAAATGCCAAGGAATTCAATGACATGATTGCCTTATCCTCGGACTCCAGAGCTTCTCAGGCGAGCCTCTTGAAAACTGTGCAAAACACCGTTGATTTTGTTTAGAAAATACAACAACTATTTAAAGTGAAATAAATAGGCATCTTTTGCGCGGATCAAAAATAACCCTCATCGGTCGAACTCCGGCTACGCTTACCACAGTATTTTTGCGCAGAATACCTTTCCGCGTTGGCGGCCTTCGTCTGCGCTTAGGTATTATAACCCTTAGTACGCAAAATTATTCTTTCTGTGTTGACTGCGAAAAGGGGGGACAATGATACACAGCCCAATTCTGAATACTCCCAGCGAGTTTGTTCTCCGGGAAATGTGTCTCTCCCGAGAATAATTAACTCCCAGGGAGTAGCATTTCGAACTTCGAAATATCTGTTGGACATTTTTTGAGAGAAAAAACCTCCCAGGGAGTTTCTGTTTCGAATCGGGCTGATGGAATATTTTCTGCATATGAGTATTCAAGATGGCGTGGTGATGATATAGAGCTGGTTTCTCCAACTCAACTTAATTTATCTGATTTTTTAGACGTAGTCTAAACTAAGTTAAGTTGAGTCGGAGAAACCATCCCATAGTCTTTTTGCGCAGACCTTTCTGCGTATGCGGCCTTCGATGTTTTTCTATTTTGAAGAGGCGTGCCTGAGGAGCCCTGCAGTCGAAGGAGAAAGACTCATGTCATTGAATTCCTTGGTCTTGTTCTTTCAAGCTGGAAAGGTAAATGGTGCCACTCCCCTTCTTTTTTTTGCACCAGCCTCGGACCAACTCAGTTTATAGACATATAAAGCATCATTTATTTAAAATATACGGGTGTATATGTAAAACTTGAGTCTTTTAATACATCGTATAGGATGGAAGTTACAAAATTAAAAAAGAAATTTAATCAGTACAATAATGTGTATACATAAAACTAACAGAAAATGAATAAGGGTTATAAAGCTTAATCTAAATACTCACAAGTAATTTTTAGCAAAAAAAAAACCGACTTCAACTCTCATATAATAAAAAAAATATATACATATATCTCATGATCCACTGATCGGATCTTAACCAGATTAGTATGGGACCACCTCTGAGACACTACCTTTCCGATGCAAAAAGAGTTATCGAAATCGGCTGACGTGGTCCAAAGTGGTCCGACGAACTGATAACCTCCTCCTCTTTTGGAAGTCGGTTAATAATTATATTTAATACTACGAGACAACTATTTTTTTTTAAATAGTTAGGCGCATGAAAATATAGATTATTTTTTTTTAACTTTTTATTTTTATTTATTGAATCTGCCCTGCCTAAGAGCCTAACAATAAGTTTTCGAATCATATTCTATTCACTTAATTTACATCCCCTAGTTGGGATAAGTATAATCTTAACTGGCCCTAAGAAGGTTACGACTGGGCTGTTGACACGCAATAAAGATTTGGGTGTACTAAAAGCTTCAATACATATTTGGTCATCTGTTGTTCTATTTCGGTTCGTACTTCTGGTATTCTCAAGTCGCGGTGAATGTTCTCATTTCGGATATTCCAAGGTGCTGCGGTGATTGTTCGAAGGATTTTAGATTGCGCACGACGAAGGATTTCAATGTTGCTGCTGCTCGCGTTTCCCCATAACTCACATCCATAGGTCCATATCGGTTTTAAAACTGTATTGTAAATAAGCACTTTATACTCTAGACTCAGGGGTGAGCGAGAGTTAATAAGCCACTGGAGAGAATTGGCCTTCAGCTTGAGATGAGTCCTTTTAGCCATTATGTGGTTTCGCCAAGTAAGTCGCCTGTCCAAATGGACCCCTAGGTAAGTGACATGATTGCTTTGTGGTATTTGTACGTTGATCAAAGTCAAGGACGGACAGTTACTCTTATTCAGTGTAAATGCAACTTGCTTACATTTTTGCTTGTTGTTGTTGTTGTAGCAGCATACAAATTCCCCAAAGACTTTTTGGGGAGTGTTGCTGGAGTGACAGTCCTTGGCCAGATATAAATCTGGGTCGTTCCGGTTACGTAGACCCGACTGTCGTGGGAACGATTACATTTTTGCTCGTTAACCTTTATTCGCCAGTTTGCGAGCCAATTGGCAAAAGCTTCCATATGATTGCCTAGAAGCGCAGTACTTGGAGCGACTGATTATGGCAGTGTTATCGGCAAAAGTGGACATTATTAGGCGGTCGTTTGTAGGAATATCCGCGGTGTATAAGGCATAAAGCATCGGGCCAAGGACACTGCCTTGTGGCACTCCAGCTTCGATTGCATGGGCTTCAGAGATGGTGGTGTTACATTAACTCGATTATAAAGTATGACTTAAGCAGTTTGTGTGTGCTTTGTGGGAGTAGCATCTGTATTTTATACATAAGGCCGTATAGCCAGACGCGATCAAATGCCTGGGCGAAGTCAAGAAATATTGCAGCGCAATATTCCCTGTTGTTGTTGTTGTAGCGGCTACAACAACCCCGCGCAGATCGGTTGATATCTCAGCCGTTGTCGTCAAGTTCCACTAACGGCAGCCCTAAGAAGCGTGCAGCCTCCATTGGGTCGGTCCACAGAGACATAGCCGTTAGGGTTGTCGGGTTTTCGGGCATACGAAGAGATGTTTCGAGTCGTGAGGGGTCTCTCCGCGTGCCGGACATTCATTTGGCACATCTGCGTTTAGTCTGCTCAGGTATGAGTTTAACCTGGTTAGGTTTATTAGGTTAATAAATTTATTATTAATATGTTAACATATTTTTTAATTCAATATTGTATTAAATATCACAAATTCATTTCTCACTCTACTATGTATGTATATAAAATTATGAATTACAGGAAATAATAAAAGTAGTTATAGCCTTTTACAAAATTAATGCACATTGTTTTAAAAGTCAGAAAATTGTTTTCATTTTTCACGTTGTCCGGCAGGGAATTAAAAAGACTTAATTAAGCCTTTATACATTAATGTGTTTTGCGTTGTAGTAGTCCTTTTCAATCCAAGTCGAAAGTCATTCGCATTCCTCACTGAATATTGATGTGTATTTCTAACATATTGGATGCACTTAGTTAGATATCTCGGAGCCAGGTTCTGTTTAATTTTATATATCATTATTGGCGTGTTAAGCTTCAATTTTTGGTCGATGCTTAGCCATTTCAATGTTTCCAGCATTAGCCTTACTGGGGTATATATGCTGCATCTTATTATACATCCCATACACTTATTTTGTAACTTCTGTATTCTCTCTATTTGTGATTTATTGCAACATGTGTACAGTATCGTTGAGCAGTATTCAAAATGTGGCCTTATTATTGTATTGTATATTTTTATTGCTGTTAATATGTCCAATTTATTGCGTATCCTTTTAAAGAAGTTTATTTTTTTGGGAGCTTTTTTACATAAATAATCTACATCATCATTAAATTTGAACTCACTGTATTATTACGCCTAAATATTTAATGTATTGTACTTGTTCAATAGCTATTTGGTTTAGTACTAAATTTATTTCATCAATAGAATTTACTACCATCAATCTAGTTTTTTGTTCGTTAAGTTGAGCCTATTCATTTTCAGCCATATCATCATTTGTTTCATATCACATTCTATTTTTTGTTTACATTCTTCCACTGATTCCGCTTCCGGGTAGATTAACGTATCGTCCGCATACATTGCAATTTTCGATTTTTCTATTACTTTTCCAATTCATTCCTTGAGGAACTCCCACATTCACAAATTCATAATTAGATTTCGAACATCCAAATTTAGTTTGTTGTCTACGATTTGAGAGATAGGCTGACTTCCAAAACGTATTAATACAATGTTTGGAAACTGTTATACTGCGGTATTCAAACTGTTTGTATATGCAGAGTTGCGACACATTGCAACCATATACATTGCATATTTTAAATATTCAATATAGCAATGAACAATTTTTCTGAATTTTCCATTTCTAAAACACGAATGCTAACCAATAACAAACGAAGCATCAACTTTGTTTCTGATGCGCTGGTTGCTCCAGCGATGCGTTTCGATAACTTTTGGGCTGCGTTTTGGAACAGTATACATTGTCCATATTTTGTAGTTCGACGTTATGGAACCTTATACTTTGTACGTATGCAAAGCAATTGACGTTTTGGAGGTCAGCTATATTGCCTAAACCACTGTAGCTCTTTTCCTCTTATACCGTACATGTATAACTTTTTGATCAGAATTTCTCTGTCTATGGCTTCAAAAGCTCTTTTTATGTCGAGAAACAACGCCACTATTTTTGTTTTTTCGCGAACAGTTCATTCACTCGCCGCCAATGTGATTTATTGTACTCTCACACGAGTGATTTTTACGAAATCCCGACTTACCCCCTTATTCTAGAACCCGAATTTTCGTAATTCGTAATTCGTAGCTACGCTACGAAAAACGAAAAATCCACATGCTGCAACCCTTGCGGAAACATGTGCAGCATTGCCAGCTATCAGTTGTTTTTCGAAGAACACTCGGAGAGCACAGACGTCTTTCTTGCCGCCCCGCAAACATTTTTTTAATTACGTGGTTTTTTCCGGGCTATAAACTTTAAATATTTGAATATATCAATATCGCTTTTCAAAGACTCTTTGATCGGTTTTGTGACAGAAAAGTGTTGTTTTATACAAAAATCTTTGAAAAATCGCATAAACAAAAATCTTGTTTTGCTGACGCTGTTTTTTTCCCGCCTTTTCGTCTACTGCCGCCTTCGACGCTTCTACTGTTCTACCGCAGTTACGCTCTACACCGATTTGTGTTTTATTGCTTCTCCCGCGCTATTGTTTGAACTTTGTACTAAGAGCAGATCATGTCAACTCGCGCCAGAACAAATCGCCTCACAGCCACAACCTTGGGTGCTAGTCCAACAACGCATCACAATTTCAGTAAAGGTGAGAGCACGCCTAATGCTGCGTGGGTTTCGCAATTGGAGGCGAGAATAGTGAGTGCAGTGAAAGAATCAACGAGGGAGTCAGGTGGGCGCATACTACTACATATAGGAGAGCTGACGGCTGAGCTTACAAATTTAAAGCAAAGCGTAAAATCTCTTGAAGAAAGAGTAGTGGCAGCTGAACGCGACTGTGCTGAAATAGCGAAGTTGTGCAATGACGTTCATACTCTTAAGGCGGAGGTGTGCGCAAGTGAATCTCTTAGCGCTGAAGTGTGCTCACTGCGAACCCAGCTTGATCGCTACGAACGAGCCGAAGTCGCCGCTGATGCATGTCTACACGGTATACCAGCGCAAAGTGGAGAGGATCTAACGGGCCTAATGAAGAATATCTGCACCTCAATCAATAGTACGGTGCCAACAGTCAAGAGTATTTTTCGAATGAGGAAAACTAACAAGTCAAGTTTAGCTCTCCTCACGAAAAGGGAGTGTTTCTCAAGTCGATTGCACTTCATAATCGCAGCAAAGATAAATTATGCCTAAGGCATGCAGGGTTTGACTCCAACATGCCAATTTATATCAACGAATGCTTGACTAAAGCAAGTCATGCGTTGCTGAAAACTGCGCTGCGACTGAAGAAACATAAGAAAATATCATCAACTTTTACCAGGCGCGGGCAAATTTTTATAAAGCGCTCTCCTAGCGTTACACCCGTTCGTGTGCCAACTATGCAAACGCTGAGAAATTTAGTTAGAGCCGACGAACAAACTTTTCTCTTTCGCAGGAATACTTAGATTATTGGTTTTTCGTTCTCTTGTTTTTATATTTCTGATTTTTCGTTCTCTTGTTTTTATATTTCTGATTT